TGTAAAAAGTTTTGAGGAGTTTGAACAATGCACTTTAAAGATAGGCTATAAGACAACTACTGTTTAATTTTTTGCCATTATTTTAATAAATTGCCATGGCAACACCAGTTGAGATATCCAAAACACATTCGCAATTTAGGTTCCTCAGTGTTTTTGCATCAGGTAGACAAAGTTTGGTGTAAATTGCAGGAGTATAGAGGAGAAGAATATTTAAGTTTGAAGCGTTGCCATGGCAACCATATTTAAATTATCAAGAATCCCTTCACAGTTTTATATCTGTTGTGTTTTGATATTATTCTGATGAAGTTTGAAGCAAATCAAGTAAAAATAAACATTTTGAAAATGACACACTTTCTGCTGCTTGTTCTGGCTCTGCCTGTTTTAGCATTCCCCCTACTGGTCATTTTATATTCTACTACTTAAGTTTATATTATTCAGTTCCTGGGTTCTTAAGAACAGTGTGCACAGCACATGGTAGCTTATGTTAATTTTGCTGTGCCATTCCATCCTATTAACAGCACTTAAAGGCAGGGTAAGCGATTTCTGGTAGCCAATGTTGATATTTGAAATCACCAAAACAAACACGCCCCTACCCCAAAAGGATCTCGCCCCTATTTTGATAGCTCCGCCCCACATATACGTAGGCAACCCAGGCAACGATTATTTCTTTGAAACAAAGCAAAACCAATGTTACACCGTGTCTACAGACGTGAGCGGCGCGGCGCAACAAATCCCAGACAGAAAACTGCTGCCGGGTTCTATTTATGACGTGCTGACACAAATTTCAAATGGTTTTCAACGGTCGTTTGATCGCGTCCAGTGTAGGCAGACTTTAGCTGTTGTAGACACGGTGTTACTCACCTACTGAGAAGAAACATAGCAACCTCGGCGTCCGATCGCAGGCCTCCGCTCCTTGAGTTCTCTCCAGCGCTGGAAAGCTGATCCGATATTTACACGGGTCCTACTTCTTGCCTTATCGTTCCGCAGACGTTTTCCTCTTGTTTTTTATCCGCCATCTCTATCTCTCTCTCGCTCGGCTCGATTAATGTCCGTCCCATGCACTGAAAGCTCTCCCCTCCACATCACGAGTAGACACGCCCCTTATTGCTGATTGGCTACAAGTTTGTTTTGCTATTCGGCCCGAATCAGTTTTCTAAAGTGTTTTTGAAAAATTACATACCCTACTTTTAACGAGGCACTGCCTGTAAGTAAAGTTTGATTATTATTAAGTTGGCTTGAGAAAGCCAACTTACTGAAATGCGATTTTGACTTATTATTATTCTTCTTACAACATCTGTTGACTGTATCTTCTCCTAGAGCTTTCAAGCTACATCCACCAAACTCAGCTCAGATCTTCAGACTGTCTGAAATCATAAAAATCCTATAGAGTTACATTGACGGAATGTTCAAATGAGCCAAGACTATTCAAACTCCAACTGACAAAATTCAAATTTAAATCTGTTTTTCTAATAGATTCAAAACATTCAACCTTTAATCTTTAAAACTATTTTAAACTTCAATCTACTTCAAACCTAACCTTCAAACTTCAATCTTTTAAAACTTTTTCAAACTTTCTGGTCTGGCTTTCTCAAGCCAACTTCAAAGTGTATCTTGACAAACTTGTTTATCTAGTTATGTTGGCTTGAGAAAGCCAACATAGTGATATCCTATTTAAACTTATTATTATTAGTGGTGCTTGCCAAAGGCAAAGCATCACTATTGGTCTTCTTGCATACTTATTAAGTTGGCTTGAGAAAGCCAACTTACTGAAATGCTATAAAAACTTAAGTTGGCTTGAAAAAAAGCCAACTTACTGATATTGTATTTAAGATTCTTATTATTAAGTTGGCTTGAGAAAGCCAACTTACTGAAATGCTATTTACACTTCTTATCATTAGTGGTGCTTGCCTATTAGGCAAAGCATCACTATTGTTCTCTTGCATACTTATTAGTAGTGCTTGCCAAAGGCAACATGTTAACAAAGTTAGAAACATGCTAGCAACATGCTAACAGCATGCAAATCATTCTGACAATATGTTAATCATGCTAACAACATGTTAACATGATAATCATGCTAGCAACATGTTAATAATGCTAGCAACTTTTTAGCAACATGCTAATCATGCTATAAATATGTTAACAACATGTTAATCATGTTAATAATGTTAGAAACATGTTAACAACATGTTAATCATGCTAGAAATATGTTAATCATGTCAATCATGCTAGAAACATGCTAGTGACATGTTATGTTAACAACATGCTAATCATGCTAGCAAACATGCTAATAATGCTAGAAACATGTTAGCATTATGCTAATCATGCTATAAATGTGTTAACATCATGTTCAATCTTGTTAGCCATGTGATAAACATGCTAGCAACATGTAAATCATGTTAAAACATGCTAGCAACATGTTAACAACATTTTAAATCATGTTAGCAATGTGGTAAATCATGCTATCAACATCTATCTAATCTATCTAATCTTTCAAACGTCAAGCTTTTACAACTGCTTGAAACTTTCAGGCTAGGCTTTCTCAAGCCAACTTCAAAGTTTGTTTACAAACTTTACTCATCTAGTTGATTTATGTTATTCTGTATGTTTATGAATAAATACATGTAGAAATAATTGTTTTCATAATGCATGATTGTGAAATATATAATTCTGTTTATATTATAATATATTTGTATTGCTTAAGATCTTATTAAGCACTTATCTCAGTAAATGTATATTGTGTAAACATTTTGCATGATTATCTCATGTTGGATATAATTGGACTCAACATTTTTCATGTAAAAGTTTAATACAATCTTTTTGTTTTATTCTACAGTTTTACACATTATACTCATTATACTCACGCATTATACTATAATCATCTAAACTACAAAACTCCTATCGATAAAATTGAAGTAGGAGTTTATATGAATATATCTCTGAGGGGAACTGACTATTTTTTAGAAAAGTTTACATGTTATTTTCTTTTCATCTTGCCTCTGAACAATGCATATTAAAGTAGTGTTCATAAGGCAGCTCTGCTTTGTTTACAGCGGTAACTCAGGAAACACTGTATCATTGCTGTTCATAAGCACCACCTGCTGTCAGAGAGTGAATCTGCATCTCATTCAGCTCGTCTGCTGTTTCGTTCAGATATGTTTTATTTAGTATAGTTAAACAAAACTAAAGTCAGACCATTCTGAGTTGTCTAGCTTTCAGGATCTGATAAAAACAACCACACTAGAAAAAAATAAAGGATCCAAATGATAAACTTACAAGAAAGTAAACATTTAGTAACAGAAGTTTAACAGTTAATCGTTTCAACAGAACAAAATGCAATTTTGAGTAACATTGCCTATTAAAAACCCATTAACCCATTTCTGGTGTCTCTATTTGTACAGTCTGCACAATAGAATCTCTGATAACTAGTGCACTTTTGACAGATTTCTCATTGGGTGTGTCACTGAGTAGGAGAGCTTATTTGGAGTTTTAGTAGGAACTGGTGCATGGTGTCATGCGACTATACTACCAATAGCTGCTCCAAAAAATAAAAAAAATAAAGGCATTGATGTTTTCCTACAAAACAACAACTGGCTCTGCACCCCTTTACCTAAATTCACTACTTCAGACTTATGTGCCCTCCAGAAGCTTGCATTCTGCAAGTGAACAGCACATTATAAGTGCCAAAGAGGCACAAAATCACTTTCACAGACTTTTACATTAACTGTTCCCTCCTGGTGGAATGACCTGCCCAACTCAATCCGAGCAGCTGAGTCCTTAGCCATCTTCAAGAAATGGCTAAAAAAAACATCTCTTCCATCTACACTTGACCCTCTAACACTAACACTCTACTTGTTATCTTATTTATAAAAAATAATAAAAACACTTGACACTCTAACAACTGCACTTTCTATTCTATTTCTATTCTAACTATTTGTTTTCTTTTTATTGAAAAAGACCCTCTAGCACTAGCATTCTTTTATTCTTTTTCTATTCTATCTACTTGTTTTCTTTTTATTTATTATATAAAAAAAACCTTGCTACGTGTACTGTTACGCTAACCGAGAATTGTCACATCACTTACATATTTTTGCTCTTGTGTTGGTTTTGATTGCCTCTACTGTTCTCATTTGTAAGTTGCTTTGGATAAAAGTGTCTGCTGAATGACTAAATGTAAATGACTATGTACGGGGCTCACTAAACTAGCCACATCCAAAGCCTAATCTAAAGCTTTTCCATACTTATTAACCTCGATTAAAGTTTGGATGCATCTCTAATTATAAAATCTTTTCTGTATAACATGTGAAACCCTCACCGCTAACATACTAAAAACAGTGCAACTGACAATAACAGGAGCATCACTGACTCACCATTTGTTGGTTGATTTTGACTTACCACTGTTGTTTGATGGACTTGTAAAAGATGGAGCGAAGGAGAGAAAAGAGACTTTAAATATAAATATGTCAAAAGGTGAATGTAATGCTAATGAACTGTGCTAGCAATAATGCTAAACACAATGTCAGATTAATTTGATAGACAATATCAGATAATATCATATATGTGATAGCAATTGAGCTATATATATCTATACAGTAAAGAGTAGCGGTAAGATAGATATTCAAAACAAAGTTAGACAGAGCTGATTTTAGCTCTGCCTAACTTTGTTTTGAATATATATCTTACCATTTAGCAGCAAGACAGGAGGTGAGGGAGGCAGCAGTGAGGGTGTTTAAATACTTTTTAAAAACGTATTCATATAATAAAAACAAAAAGTGCGCATTCATACGAAATAGGACCAGATTAGCATGAAAATCTATAGAAGACTGCAGCAGAACTCAGCAACTGATCCATGTTTTTGATTGGCATTTGGCCTTGCTGAATTAAACCAATGAAATTGCAGAAACAAAGTTCAAGTGAAACATTTTTTTTTCCATTGCATGGATAGACTGTCTCAGTTCTAAGTAAAGCCCTGAACAATCTGCTGTTGTGTGTCAAACAGAATTTTGTCAACCGGTGCCCACACTGGGTGAAATTCATGATGATCTGTCTCAGAAAAGTGAGAGTGAGCAGCCACAGTTTCTTTCTGAAGATGAAGATGAAGCTGATCCCGACCTCAGTCTAGATCAGGAGCAGGAGCAGGAACAGGATCAAGAGTATAGCAACAGTGAAGAGACTGTTACAACACCTACAAGGAAAAAGGACATTAAGGTAATAAGATAATATTTCATGAAAAAATCATGAATTCATAAGAAATTTCACAAATTCTACTGAATCGCCAATTTTACCTCCATGCAAGTCACTAATTTTAGATTAATGTCAAAATCAAAATAGTAAAAAATAAATAAATAAAAGTAAACCATCAGTAACATACATTATATATATATATATATATATATATTGCTCATCAGTGCCTTCTGACACTAATGCAAATTAGTCATAGCTGAAACATCCAAATGCCACTTTGAACATTGACTGATTCTTCACAAACTTTCTTCTCTCACCCTTTCCTCAACACCGCTGTTATATTGTACAGAGCCTCTATTTTTATATTTTATTTTATTTTTCCTGTTTTCTCATTTCCTATGTTTAGTTCCTGTTTCCTTGGTTGCCTTGGTTTCTGTATATGTCCTAATTTGTTTCTATAGTAACTGATTATGTTCACCTGTTCCTTGTTTAGTTCCTTCTTTAGTCTATTTATAGCCTTCAGTTTCAGTTATTTGCCTATTCTCATCTTTGTATGATTTGTTTTGCTGTGTCGCTTGCATGTTTCCTCTGCTCCCGAGTGTTATTGTTTTCTTTTAATAAGCATACTGCTTTTAAAATAGATTCATGCTTCAATTCTACTTGCCTGCAAACAACTGTGACATATATCTGCTGTTGTCTCTCTTTACTGCTGTTTCTTTCAAATGAACTTTTTTGGAACACATTAAACAATGCTATGATCTATTTCCTCTTTCATTAAACCTTTCCCAGCTAAAGGAGGAAGCACGTCTGGCTCTTAATATGCAGGAGGTATTTTAAAGCATCAATGTCTATGGTTCTATCTACGTTATACATTTCCCTTCTGATGCAAATAGGCATTTTGCATGAGATCATAGTGAACATTTGCCTTTTTAGCCATATTTCAGGAGGCCAAGTGATCAGGCATATTCAAATAGTGGACCGCTGTCCAGGTCCGGACCTAGGCTTGGTTCCAACCGGACCACGAGACATAATGGAAACGGCAGCACCAGTTCGAAATAAAGTGAGCAGCGCTTCAAAACAACCTTAGCGGTTCACACCACAAGCGCTCAGGATCGTTTATTGTAATGATCTTTCAGTGGTATTTCTTCTAATATATATATATATTTTTATCTCGAGCCAAACGCCCTTCATTCAATCCATTCCCGTGTGCGTTGTATACGAATACTGAGAGATATTACTGAATTCACGACAAATGCAACAAACTTTATAATGCATTTTTGTCACATATAAAAACACTTGACAGTAAAGCATTGATTTTGAGCTAGACTGCTGGAAAGTTACTGCTAATAAATTCTGTCATCATTTCCTCACCCTCATGTCGTTCCAAACGTCTTTCTTCTGTTGAACACAAAAGAAGATTTTGTAGAATGTTACCAAACCCATTTGGTTACTCTTGATTTCTACTGTATGGACAAAAATTTCTTGAATTTCTCAAATTATGTTCCACAGAAGAAAGAAATTCATACAGGTTTGGAATGACATGATGTTGAGTAAATGATGACAATTTTCATTTTTGGGTGAATCTCCCTTTAAGAACTTTATTATTTGTAAATAATAAACACCTAATTTATATAAGACACTGATATTTATATTTAATCAGGCCCTTATTAAATTAACTTTTTACTTCAATTAAAATTCATTAGAACTATAACATATAAAAAGAAAGAAGTTCTTGCTTAGAAAGCAGAGTTTAGCTGACTAGTATTAGTAGGATGGTGGTCACAAGAAATAAAACCATGGTCCTCATTACCATGGTTATATGGTTTTTAAAATAAATAATAAGTAATAATAAACTATAAAATTTGTAGTTAAAAAAAACTAAATATGAAGAAACTACAAAACACCTATGAAATTAAAATAGTTCCCAATATCTAATAACGTAACATTTATAATAAATACATTTCTGCCTACACATTATTTGTACAGTGTTAAAGGGGTCATATGATGCGATTTCAAGTTTTCCTTTTAAAAATCTACGCGTTTTGGAAAGACGGGGCATAGAGGAGAAACAATAATGTACAGTATGTGGAAAAGAATGTGTTTTTTGAACCTTAAACTGCATAAACAAATTTCTTTACACCAAATACACAAAATAATGTTCTTTGTAGCAACATCATATAAATACATTTCTGCCAACACATAGGCTATTTGTACAGTGTTAATAACTTCAAGTTAAATTACTATGGTGCTGAATTGACAAGCCTATTGGTGTTTTCCATTATACCTCATTGTCGTGGCTGTTTACAGCCAGCATCACTAGAACCTTTAATGTTCTCATATCACACGACTGTATAACAATTCTGTGTCACATCTGAATGGATCAAGTGACTTGCGCTGTTTATCGCTTATAAATCGTGGCAGAAGCGTGGCACACGTTCGTCAGCACTGTGCAGGTGACTGATCCCGCTCTGCTTTGACACACAGCTGGCGGATGCATCGGGTAGCGCTGCTTCAAACCTTCGGAGTATTTACTTAATGCGGTTTCGCATGCGCTGTAATTTAAAAACAGCGCCTAATATTGGGGAGGTCTCCCTCATTTCGGCGATCGGCCCACTACTCGAATGGAATGTCCCGGTGCTCCCGATGGCCAGTAGGTGATCGCGGGCCTCCAGACCTCTGGGCCCTATGCACTCTGTCACCCTTTTCCCCCAACTAGCGACGCCCCTGTGTGTAACTATTCCTATATATATATATACCTCTGCTGGGAAAGAAATATAGAGACCGGACCTCTTGGAACTTTAATTGAATAGCAAATTATGTCAAAATGCCCGTCTTGGTAAGTATCATATAGAAGACATAGCCGGCTAAACGTACTGTATCAGTGCATTCTCTTAAAGTGACAGCACTATTAATCAAACAGCAACAACAAAGAATTCACTCATACAGTGAAATTTTACATTTCATTACTTTATTCAATTAATGTACCTAAAAACTGTTAGACCTACCTAAAAAAAAAAAAAAACTGAAAATCACTGTTTATTTTATTTGTATCTTTACTCTATTGTATTTATTTGTGCTGTTGCTTGTAGTTAGATTATTCTTATTTTATATATTTTTATATACTTTTACAGTATATTTTTTCCCTAAACATAGCACATACTGTACCGAAACCGTGACTCTAAAACCGTGATACAAACCGAACCATGAGTAAGTTGAACTGTTCCACCCCTAATATATATATTTCTCCGGACCTCCGCTGGGAAAGAAATATAGAGACCGGACTTGTTGGAACTTTAATTGAATACCCCTGTATTAAAGGGATAGTTCACCCCAAAAATGTTATTATTTTTTTAAGTAGGGATGTGCGAGACTAGTCTACTAGCCCAGGGTTCCCTTTCGAGATGGTCTCTAGACGTTGTGTACAGCTTGCTGACACTATGGGGAAACACCTTTCTTAGATCCATGCTTCAATTCTCCTTGCCTGCAATTCCAAACTGGAAGTGGTTGCTCACTGCTGGCCGAGAGAGTGGAAATTTGCATTTCCCCCACTGAACATCCTATACCAATTATTGTGCAAAATCAGGCAGGGAAATTTGGCATCCCCAGCCCAGACTTATGGAACCTGCAAGTCTGGCCATTCAACAGAGCCTGCCAGCATCAGTTTTGCTTCCATAGCAAGTGCTGAGAACGATTTCTGAAGTGTATCTACTAGACGTAAAACTCACAAATAGAAAGTATTTCTGAATTGGTGCAGCTCTAGGGACGAGGATTTGGTAAGCTGCCCGATCCTGGTCATTTTCTCCTTCTTACAGGAGCGTTTGGGTGATGGCTGTACACTCTCTATGCTCAAAGTGTAGGTGGCTGCTGTATCAGCTTTTCATAATGAAGTGGATAACCAGTCAGTTGGGAGACATAATCTGATTATTAAGTTTTTACGGGGCACGAGACGGCTCTCTTTTTCACTTTTACTCACACTCACTACCGTTAAGCGAGTCGGCAATATGCATGCTCTTTCAGTCAGCAAGACTTGCATAGTTTTTGGCCCTAACTTCTGTAAAGTTGACCTTAAACCAAGACCAGACTATGTGCCTAAAGTGCTCTTAACAATGTTCAGAGCCATGGATATAACTCTCTCAACTTTCACCCTGAGTGAGTCGGCAGCTGGGCAGGATACACCCACCCTGCCACACCTTCAGCCACGCTACCTTGTGTGTGCTTTGTGCATTTATGTTGAACGTACCAGACAGTTTAGGCTCTCTTTACAGCTCTTTGTGTGTTTTGGTGGAAGTTATTCAGTGGAAGGATTCTAAAGTATAGCCACTCGTGTTCCTGCTACTTTTTCACAAGCTTGTGCACTATTGGCCATTGGGATGCAGTGGCATTAACCGAATAAGGCTTCAGTATTTCAAGGAGAAAGGTGTTTCCCCATAACATCAGCTAGCTGTACGTTTAGTAACCTGAGACTTTTTTCAAACATGTCCTGGAGACCCCCAGCACTGCACATTTTATATGTCTCCCTCATCTAACACACCTGGTTCAACTCATCAGCTCATCAGTAGAGAATGCAAGACCTGAATTGGGTGTGTTTGATAATGCCGGGCATACAAGGTGTGATTTTTGCTGTTGTAGGAGCTTCCAAGCGAGTTTTTAATTTTTTTCAGTCGGAGTAATTGTTGCTTGTCAGTCGTTGATGCTTGTATGGTCATGACTTAATCGTGTGAGAGGAATTACGAGCCGTTACGAGCCATACTGAGTAACCTCTTGAGCTTCCGATAATTGTCGCCGGCTTGGCATGCAATATGGTCGAACCGTGTACCAATTGGTTTGACACAGTTGTCATGTTAACTGATTCATAATTCTTACAAGGGCTCACAACCTCCCGAGTGTCCAAATTTGCACAGTGTATGCCTGGCTTAAGGGAGACATACAAAATGTGCAATGCTGAGAGCTTCCAAGGCATGTTTGAAAAACCCTAGATTAGTCGGCTAAACCAGAGGTTCTCAAACTTTTTGGGGCCAGAGACC